GACCTAGAGGAACACATCTAACTCTTCCTGCTTATATTACCAAGTTGCGAAACCAAGATCAAACAACTTCCATAAAACGAAAGGAGACCGCGACCATCAAAATGCCACACTATCCTCGTTTTCATAATTTCGATTAAGCTAATTTTCAAAGTTACGTAGACAAATTCATAAAGCAACAACCTATATTATTATAATTGCCTTAGGCGTATGTTTGATAAAATTCCTTAAATTTTATTTATGACCTGGGTGTGGTGGGAGAGAACGAGTCGTGAAGACATCATGGAATGCGACAGGAACAAGAGCATATGCATTTTTATCAAAAGCAGAAATCCTGAGAATCATCAAGTAAAACCTATTTGTAAATGGGCTTAAAAGTGGCAACATGTGGTCAAACAAATGACCAAGTAAAGGCAGCTAATTAAGATGTCATATACCATTAGACACATTTTTAAGTATCATCATATCATATATATGCTATATTAAATATGGAAATCAGTATACTGAAGTCAATTTTAATAAATAGGCATGCTCACTGACATTTTCCCTTCCATTCGAATCAAAACATTGAGTGAACATTATAGTGTATAAATGTGCTAGGCATAAAAACAATATAAACATGAATTGCAACCATTATATTGCTAAACAGATATGAATGTTCAATTTAACTCAACTAACCTTTGTTAATACTATCATTATTGATAGCGCCACACACACCCAGACTGAGTTGCTCCGTCAAGGTCCTCACATTAGGCTCTAAAATGCCGGGGGAATCAAGTGCCATGATCTTTGCTTCACTATCATTTGAATCCAAAGCTTGGGACGATTTAAATCCGGGGTAAAGACGAGAGCTAGATCCAGGACATATAAGAATTGGTTGGCCTAAATTCCTGGTCATGCCCGGGTTTCGGCCGACACGGACGGATGAACCCCGGCCTCCCATAGTAAAAGTCTTGAGTGTGTTTATCAAAGTACTCTTGCCACAATTAGGCAGACCGACAACCAAAGTCGTTATAGGTGGTATTGTATCCTCAAAAGAAGGGTTGTGATCGTCATCAAGTGATTCATCAGATGTGAACTCCATAGTTGATGAAGGAAGATCACGGCGTTTATTTGAAGCATAGTTAGAAATGCTAAAAGTATTTACAAGTCAGGTAAACATAAAATATCGTGACAATGGCAGCACACATGAGTTGTAGAACAAGTATGATAAGAGTACCAAGGCAAATAGGTAATAGTGAAGGTGTAAAAACCTCAGTGAATCACATTTTTATCACATCTGATGGAGGCTTTATATCAGCACTCACCATTTAATTATTTTCCTTAGTGTTATTTTTTGTCTTTCCGGAGATATGAGCTCAGTAAAAAATATTTCAAGCGGCTGTGTCGAATAGTTTTCAGCGCATGAGTCGAATATTTTATTTTTTAGCAAATCAGTATCCACCTCTTCAGCTAAATCGGATTTGTTCATAAGCAATATATACGGTCGATTCTATGAGAAAAAAACTGCATAAAAGTTAGTCGAATAATGCCCTGAATTAGAAATAAATCGCACCATGCCTAGCTTGCGGATGAAATCCGAACGACCGGTGAAAGGTATACGTGAATCATGAATCTCAATAAGGAAATCAATAGAAGCTTGTTTTTTGCTGATTTCTTTGATACCTTTATTCATATGTCCCGGAAACCAATTGACTGATTCTGGGAGAACGTGACGGACACTATTCCGCATTGAGACTTCCTGAGAAAAAGTCCTAGAATTGCACAGTATAACGTCTTTTGTGTGAATTTTCGGATAAAAGCACTCGTACTCACATCGAGAATGAAAAAAGCAAGGGCGCAAAATGCGTATCATGCCGAAGTATCTGAATAGTTGGGTACGCTGAGTTGATTCGAAGAATCCTCCTCCAATATTATTAATATTCAATCTAATATTTACATATAGAACTAAAATTACATTAAAGTTAAATATATTTGAAATGTTTAGTTTCTATATTTGAAGAACTATTTTGACAAGGTTTATCGTGTGACTTGAATATCGCTGACGTTATCGACTTTTGGATAAGCTGCGTCTCAAAAGAGTGAATTTTTTGCGTTGGTTTCCTTAAGCCTCTTAATTTTTACTGTTTACTGTATTTAATAGGAGTTTAAATTAGTAATTATCATAACTTATTGTAACTAGGATTTAAATGGATATGTATTCGAATAGGCTATCGCGATTACCAAACTTGA